CCCTCGCTTAGGGCCGCTCCCCTGCGACCCCCATCCCACCCCCGCACCGCCCTCGGGGGAGTTCGTCTCGACGTGCCGCGACCTGCGACAGCTCCCCCATTCCCCCCCCCTCCCCAGCTCTTCCACACACACACACATACACACACACACACGCACACACACACACACACACACACACGTGGAGATATAAAAGTTAAAAGTGAAGAAAAAGCCGTAATTCTGGGAATGGTCGGGACATGACGCCGCCGGTGCGAGGGAGCTGGTCTGCCTAGAGACACGCGGGTGCGGCAGAGACAAGAGACAAGGGGGAGTCATGGGCGGCGCTGGGACAAGAAGGGAGAGGGGGGGGGACCATCACGCCTTTTACACATATGAGCCTTCGCGACACGCCCACACAGACACACAGACACACCGACACAGAGCTCAGGCCCTGCTGCTGTGTCCCCCCTACTTCCCCCGCACCCCTCTTCTTCTCTTTTTTTTTCATCTCACTGTGTACTCGCTACAGCAGCGGGGCTGGGAGCGGGGACCCCTCCCTGCACACGCCCGACCCCTACAACGCGTGGTTGGCGCTGCAGGCCGTGTCATTGCCGCCCGACCAGGCCGAGGCTCGTAAGTTCAAACGCCAAATAACTGAACGGGAGATTTTCCTTTCTGTCCCCCCGGCCGGCGTGTCGACCGCTATCGGGTCTGGTTAGCGCCGCCGAGCCGAGCCAAGCGATGCTATGGGGGGCGCCGTGCTGGAAAAGCCCCTTGCGGGCGAGCGGCCCCCGCGACCCGCCCCCTCCTTGGGCTCGGGCGGTGAGATTACTCGGGGGCACAAGAGCACCGCGCCGCCGAGAGGACCGCCCCGCCCCGCCTCGCCCCACCCCACCCCGCCCCGGGGCGAGGCAAGCAAAGCACGGCAAGGAAGGGCACGCGCCAAGGTGCTGCGAGCTGGGGAGTTGTCGCCGACGATGGGGAGGGGGCCGCAGACGGACGGACCCGCGGGGGCCGTGCAGGAACTACTTAGCCGCGCCAAGGAACGGCAATCACTTTATGCCGTTTGCGAACGTTTCTCCCGAACGAGTCCAAATGTGGCATGTGTCATAAATAAAAGTCTGAAATGGGTAAAGAGAGTTAGACTGACCCAAACTGTTTTCCGCGACATAGTTTTGATTTGACATTGACAGCCCCAAGACTGTCTCTACCAGAAGAAAGTGTCCCTCACCCCCTCCTCGCTCTTTCCCCTTTAATATCATTATTGCTGATGGAGGGTTGAGAAAAAGTATTGTTCGACCACTTTCTCTGGGTCAGTCAGGTGTTTGGGCCGGTTTTCGGTTTTGGGTGACTGCCCTAGAAAAACAAAAAACGAAGAATTTTACTAGAGGAGAGTACGGTTTCTTTCCCCTTTCCTGTATTTGTACTCGGGAAACCACGTGGTTTGTGCACACTCCCCCCGAGTTCCCGACTGCCCCCTTCTCTTCCCCCCTAACCGCGCCCTCCCCGCCCTGCTCCTCGCCGCAGCCGCGCAGCGCCGCCGCTCCAAAAATAAACCCATTACCTCATTGGAAACTCGCCGCTCTCTGCGGGGAAGACCTGGAAGAAGCCCCCCAAAGCCGATCGAGGAGGAGGAGGGAGGGAGGGCGGAGGAAGAGCAGGGGAAGAGGAGCGGGTCAATTCTGGCGTCAGTGATGTGCGACGCCAACGGCGGCGGCCTGGTCGTGCCGGGTCGTGCCGGGGGCCCTCAAGCAAGCGGGGCCTGGAAGGCCACAGCCGGCTCACCCTCACCCCTCCCTCGTCAGAAGGCCGACGTGTCGACGCGAGCGAGAAAATTAAGGAAAATAATATAAAAATGAGTAGCGGCCCGAGCAGAGAGGCCTGCTGACATTACGGAGCCAATACCATTAGGGCCCCTTCTTCCTTCCCCCTCGGAGCTTTCGCGAATACTTTCGTCATGTTACATCCACTTTCGTTTTCAGAGCGGTCGTCGCGGACCCCTCGTTAAACCCAGAGCGGTACGAGCCGACCAATGAGCGCCCGTCTAGCGGCTCTTACTTTATCCCCGACCTTTCTCTGCTCCCTCTCTCTCCGGATTTTTATTTTCATTATCTAGTGGCCAATGAATCCCCATGGCAATGGCACGGCCTTGGCGCCGTACGCCGTATAGACGACGTCCGGGTCCGCTTGGCAAAAGTGTACACTGCTCGAAAGAATGAAAAGGAGGGAGAGAGAGAGAGAGAGAGAGAAAGGAAAAACACGTCGGCATTTTATAGGAATAATGAAACTACTACTGCCAACCCTCTCGGCCCATTACGCGGCACAAGAGGCCTCCATTGTCCCCGGGCCTCTCCTCGGGACGCTCGGGACGCTCCGGGCCGTGTCGCCAACTGAGCGCTACACCCGGCCGTTTTGTCGCTAATTTTTCTTCAATTGGCCGCTCAAGGGCGCGGAGCGGAGGGGCGCTGCCCCCCCCCCCCCTGGAGGGAAAGGGGCAGGGCGGGATGGGCGTCGCACTTCACCGCACAGCCCGCCGTGCAATCTTTTATCGCAGACTTGGCTCACCCTCTCTCTCTACACCCCTCTCTCCCTCTATTTCTTCCTCCCCTCCCTCCTCACCCTCGAGGACCTCACCGGCGGG